TTTCTCAGGTGTTCAAATACTTATGTTCAGCAGTGCAAGACAAATAAATTCTTTAAAAATCATACAATGCGATTTCCTGAAATGTTTTTTTAATTCTGTCTCTCAGAGTGGGAATGCACCTACAATGTGAATTTCAGACCCCTCCATGATTTCTAAGTGGGAGAACTTGCAAAATCGCAGGGTGTTCAAATACTTCTGTTCCTCACTGTAAAGGCGTTCATATATCTCAAAAAATACTTTCCATTTGGTAGCTTTTGGTTGAACATAGCAATGTTGCCTCTGTTTATTTTGCATTTCAAGTTGTTAAAATTTTAAGTGGCTCAAAAATACAGAGTATGGCTGCAACATTGCTGCACACAGTGGTTTACATTTTGGCACAACTACTGTCATGAAGAATAGTTGTTTACTGTAGATCATTGTGCTGTGTTCAGGTTAACTTTAGCATTTTGTGAAAGGAAGAAAAGGCAGCCCAGTCACACCAGCTCAGCGGGGGTGCCAGTGCAGAGGGTTTTAGCACAAAATACACAGTTGTTGTGGCTTAATTTTTCACCCAGTGATTGGCTAGACATTTGGCCTGTCACATACATGCAGGCGGTGTATTTCTTCCCTTTACCTCATGACTGTCCTAATGAAAGATAAAATAATTGCTGCAACGATCACTTTAAACTGTAAGTCCTGGTTATATTTCATTGTCTCAGCGGCACCAACTCCACCAACGCAGCCCCATGTTGATTTAACACAGAGCTATTTTCAGTCTGAATCCTTGTTTACTGATCAGTCAGTATAGAATATAACGTATAATTGTTGAGCATTTAAATTGCATGTTCTTCCTAATTTTAACATAAGACCATCAAAGCTGTTAATTTAATTTCTGTTTTTACATCTGATCCTGTGCCGTCTTTTCTTCCAGGTTGGGCTTCGCCTAGGGACCATCATCCTCCGCAGCGCTATCAGGAAGCTGTGAAGCACAGTTCAGAGGACACTGTGCCTGACAGCGAGTCATAGAAGGAGGACTTCTTGTTTAATTAGAGAGAGAAAATCTTAGAAAGCACGGAAGTCTTGCAGTCATTGCGCTCCTCTAGAGTCTTCATTTAAAGATTTTGATTAATTTATTATAGGATTTTTTTTTTTCCTGCTGTGGGCTCTATCACTAGGGTGCAAATAGAACTACAGAGCTACAGCCAGGTGGGACTGGTTGCCCTGAATAATTGCCTTTTGTTTGAAAAAACTTTTCTGCCATAAAGGCTTTCCCTTGGATTATCAGCACAGAAGTGAAGGTCAGAACTCTGCAGCGTTTGCTCTCCTGGTCTTTGATTCCGTGCCATCTCTGCTCAGTCTTGATACTTTTTTCAGTTCCTTTTGACTTTGAGGTTTTTGTGGGATTACGTATTGAGCATTGGGTACACCCTTTTTTTTAAACATCTTTTTCTCCCTAGGAATATAATCAAGTCAAAACTAAACAAAATAACCTACTGACCAGATGTAGTGAGGGGGAAAAGAAGGCTGGAGAAAAAGGAATAGAGGGGATTTCAAGGACAGATGGCCTCACTGCTCAACAACACCTACAGCTGGATGAATAAAACATTTGAAGTCATGACATCTGGCTGAGAAGCGAGTTCAACACTCCTCTCATTCCCTCTTTTTTCCTGAATCTGTTCATTCTTTCACTCAATAGCATTTCCTTCCTCTTTATCCTCACATACTCCCCATTCATTCAATACATCTTTCACCTTTTCTTGTTGTTTTCTCCTCTGTGGACACAGGGATTCAGTCACTCACTCACTCAGACAGAAACAAGCCTCTGCCTGTACTTGTTTCTTCTGCTGTCACTCAATTGTATTCCACCTTTGCATGCACCCTTTCCTCTATCCTCCCCCCTCCTGCTCCTTCTCTTCTTTCTCCCTCCCGGAGTGGTGTGTGATGGTGCGTCCCCTCCTCTCATTCGTGGAGACATGCCTGTGCAGGAGATGGCGGTGAGTCCTGTCAAGTCCCTGTACTGGGAGCAGTTCCCCCCCATGTCGCAGCGCCGTGTCTACTGCACTCCAGTTTACCACGAAGGCCTGCTGTACGTGCTGGGTGGCTGCAGCGAGACCGGCATGCCCCTGGACAGTGTTGAGGTCCTGGATGTAGAGAGCCAGACATGGAGCCAGCTGCCCCCGCTGCCCACTGCGCGGGCGGGGGCCTCAGCTGTAGCACTGGGAGGCCAGGTGATGGTGCTCGGGGGCATGAATCAACAGCAGACTCCGCTGGCATCTGTGGAGATGTACCACCCTGATGAGGGCAAGTGGGAGACAAAGGCCAGCCTGGGTCAGCCATCCATGGGTGTCACCACTGTGGAGAAAGGTAGGAAGGTGGAATGCATGTGTGTAACCCTTCTTTTCACACCTGTTGTATAAGTGCAGCATTGTTGTCAATAGGGAGTGCAGCTGTGCTCTCGTGAAGGTGGGAACACATGCGATGAATATGTTTTGGGCTGGTTGACAGATCTCAGTCTGTCAACTTTAGTTTGTAATGGCACTGCATATAAACAGTTCAAGTCAAAGTACAAAAAAAAAAGTCTATATATGATGGAAAAAAATCTTAATGTGTGATTTGTCCAGTTTTTATAAGTTTCAGTTTTTAGGCTTGTTCTGTGGCAGGTCTGCCAAACGTTGTTCCTCTACATTCTCATTGCACATGTGGTATGTTAAAAGATTAGAGGGTCATGCCTTTTGTTTGCATTTATCTGCTTTAATGTTAGCTGCAACTTGCAAAGCAGGCTATTTAGTTACCTACAGTAGCACATTATTGTTTACAAGACTAAGAGTGCTAAGTTTTTGCCTGGTACATGTAGATTTAGTGTTTATGCTTTATTACTTGGCGCATACATGCATTCAGTGGCAAGTGCATATATAAGACCCTTTGTAGCAACTACTCACAGAAGCAATATTAATTATGGTTTTCCTCACAGAAACCAAATACGGTTCCCTAAATTACTGTCTTTCCTTGGAAGACTGCTGATGTGTGTGTCTCTAGATGTATACAGTGTTTGTTTGGCAGGTTTATTTGATTGCAGTGCTTGGGAAAAGCTCATTTGATTTCCACTCGTATTCTAAATTTATCAGTGCAGGACTGTGAGTTCACTCTATCAAATACTGCAAAAACGTCATGTAGGCTCATTAAGAACTGATTAAGTGGAGCATACAGCTGCTCTGACACATTTATAAGACTTTGAAGTAACAACAGCAACAACAAACTTGTTCCTTTGAAGTGCTGAAATTAGCTAATTAGTGGTTCATTTTGGGAAAAGCTCCTTAAAGCTATCCAGTGACAGTGAAGCCGCTTGTGTGTGATTAAAACTGGGTGGTGCTGAGATTGATGGCTGCTCACAGGAATCATGAATCTGGTGCTCAACTTGCTCTTGCAGTCATGGCCAAAAATATTGGCACCCCTGCATTTCTGTCAGATAACACCCTGCTTCTCTCTCAGAAAATTGCTGCAGTCACAAGTTCTTAATTCTTCTTTCTTTTCTCCATGCTCAGTGTGGTCCACACCACACAAAGGTTGAGTCAACTTTTGTCCATTTTAACTAGTTGCAAGTGTGATTTCTGTATGGCCAGCAGCTGTTGATTGATACAGGTGAGTTTCATTTTAAAGGAGCATCACGTGCTTGAAATACAAAATAATGATTTTGAAAAAGTGTCAATAATTCTGTCCAGGCCATGTTTGGAGTTCTGTGTGGAATGGATCAGATTTGGCTTTTTTGTGTTGCTCCAGTGCAAACAAAAGAAACAAACATGAGAATACCAAAGAAACTTGTGATTACACCCATTTTCTGGGAGAAGTGGTGTGTTATCTGACAGAAATGCGGGGGGGGGGGCAATATTTTCGGCCATGACTGTACGTGCAATATTGTGGTGGAGCAGTCCCAAGATTCAGATTATGTAAATGGTCAGTGGGTTGTATGTGGGTGCTTGTGTGTGTGCGCACAAGTCTACCAAGCTATCTGTGTGTGTGCACGTCCTCATGTGCTTGAGCAGAATGTCAAACGTAGCTTGGGTGGAAGAGCCAGGCATCACACAGTCTACCTCCACTGAAGATAAACATACTGCACTTAATGCTCACTCCTCAGGCATGTACAGCCTGTCTGATGTTGTGTCTGTTGGCACAGAGCAAGGGGAGAAAGAGAGGAAGAGAGAAGAGTGGGTGGAAAAGACAAGAGAATGAAGTGATCACAGACCATAAAAGCAATGTAGCAATCTATTGCATATCTGTAGCCAGAAAGTCCAGAGAGATGAAAATGATCACAGCTATATAAGACTAAGGGAGAATAAAGTGAGCTGCACTTGTTGAAGTGCTTCTTCTGTGCAGGCTCCTGTGTTTACATGTGAGGCTGTGTGCTACTGAGTGCCAACACGATAAACCAGGGAATCAGTATGACCTTTTAAGGTAATATAGACAGAGTAAGGAAATATTTCTGTGATGGCAATTTTTATTTTGGTAATCTAGATCATATTGATTCTTCTAGGATCAATGGAATGTTGAGATGTTTTCATTCAGTGTTAAATGATGTTGGATTAACAGAGCATTACATCAAATTATAGCCTAGTACAAGCATGAAATTGTAATCTGTACAATAGATGGACAGATAAACCCCTCATTCAAACAGGTTGTTCCTGACACTTGCCTCACTTGTTCCTCAGTGACCACATCATTCTTGTGACTCTATTGTGTTACCAGGAGTAGTTTAAATTCTATTTTTACACTGGGTGGAGGTTTGTTTCTGATGCAGTATAAAAGTAGTCTGGCTAGTTATCTGGTGAGCTATTTGAAATGTTTGGTGTTTAACAGTTAGCTTGAATTAGCCCAAGTGGGGTTGTGTTGGGCAAATAGGGGGGTGATTCTTGTACACTGGAACACACTGTTGAGCCTTCTCTGTGTTGTGGGTCCAACTCAACGAAACACCAGTTAGTGAGAAGGTCCCCACCTGATGACTCTGTAGACTTGCCTTCACTCCTATACCCACCCAGAACTTGTACTGGTGTTGGTGATAATATAGTTACAGACTCACTGGAATTGTTAAGTTTTCTTTTGTTAGACAATTTTGGTATAACAGTGTCAGTGGTTACACAACTGAGCGGACCCGGCTCTCAGAGGTGACTGCCACTATAAGCCAGCTGGACCAGCCACTGCTTAACCTGAGCAAATACAGTGCAGGTGCTGTGTGTCAAGCCACATATCTGCTCTTTGCTTGGGTGAGGATATGGTTCAGGGATGCTTTGTGTTAAGGGAAGGTTAGGTCTGGAAAATGGTGTTGCTTATTGTTAGCTCTAAAGATTTATGACGACATGGCCTGACACACCCCTGTTTGGGGCCAAATAATGGGTAAACATCATTTAACTCATATACTGAGCTTCCGTATTAATGATCCCCCATTCTTTGGCACAGTTAACTGTGTATTATTGATTGTTTTATGTAAATGCTAGCATATCCTACTAGTTTTCTTACTACATACAGTCGGAACGTTCATGTAATGTTACTTCCTAGGTCTAGAGTTAGCATGTAATTAGCTCATGGCACTGTGTCAGTGTCTCAGTGGTTGTTTTAAAGCACTTTCTGTTGTGAAGTTAAGCCTACAATGTACCACATGTGAACATGAAGGCAGTAATCTAACCTAAGTTTTTTAAAAAAATTTTATTAACTGCTATAATTTGTCTTTCATCAAAAAATGTCTACTTCTAAATCATAATTGAACACCTTTGTAACATTTTATGTTTGGTATCAGGTTTGAATTTATCCAGATATATCAAAGTGTTTTTGTGAAACTGTCACTGTGCAGCCTGTGGATGTGTTGTAATAAGGACTGAGAAGGAACAGGCTTTCAGTCCAGAAAGTTTTGCTGTAGAGCACTGCAGTCAAAAATCCTCTCTAAGTGGACGCTGTCGCACTCATTAAAGGAGAACTGCTATTAGAGAAAAGCTTAAAGCTCACACTCATGTTCTTATCTTCAGTGAGTGCATATATACATATAAAAGAGAGATGACTTTCTTTTGCAAGTATTGGTTTCACTCACCCTGTTTCCAGTCTTCAGTTACTGTAGGAGAAAGAGTTATGGTATCGTTAATAATCACTGCCACCAGTAAATCCCATGGCATTCATTAAGCTGAGGCACTACAGGACCCCCGTGTTCATCTATGAGACATGATACCTGCCGTTGCATATGTTGATCATGAGATTTATGCCACCCAGTTGTTTATTTCTACAGGAATGATCTGTAGAATTATTTTTGTGTAGCACTGCAGGATCTTTCAAAAACATGTCTGTCTTATTTTCTGATGCCTCCTGACATCATCTGTATGACAGTTAGCCTACTGTATGACCTCTGTGCGTTGTATGTTTGTGTGCTCTTTTCTACCAAAGGCTGCTGTTGTACATAGGACAGAAGCTTACTTGGATTGGATACTGGGTTTGACATGACATAGCTTATATATAGTACCTGTATGACAAAGATCCCTGTAATCCATTATGTAGTGTTACAGTTACTCTCCCAGACCAAGTTTCAAACAAAACTTTGGAGAAACCATGATCTGCATCTGTGTACAGTTACATCTAAGAGAATTTCCCTGCAGCTGAAACTTGTGAAACTCTGCATCTGCATTTAAGTGATACAGAATTTAAATGAGATGTGGTATAAGGCTGATGGAAGTGCAGGGAGCCGATGAGTGGTTCTTTCATCTCATTTTGAACGGGAGTCTAATCCTACAGTACGCAGTGAAATTAACGTTACTCCATTCATTTGTGGTTCCCCGTTGCCTCACTTGAGTGACAAGTTAACAGGTGACTCCTCTGACTGATTTTGACAAATAGCAGCTGGCCTACATTTGAAAGGGCAGTAAACAGCTTTACTGTAGCCTAGCCCTGTGGTTTAGAAGTCCACTTCTTCTGTGTCATGGTTGTGGACTCAGCATGGCTGTCTAGTTTCATTTTGTGTTAATAAAAACAGCACCAACAGACCGTTTTACTGATAGGCAAACAGGGCATTCACAATTCCTGTACACCACATTCAGTGGATGTGAGGAAAAGCATTGCTGTTGATACTTTTGGATCCTTAGTGTTGTTTGGCATGCTTAACCCTGGAGAGATCAGCATCACATGAAGGGAGGAACAGTTGGAAGATGGAGGAGGACTCAGCTAGATTCTAACCAAAGGCGTCACGTTTGCATGGCATGTGTGTTCGACCAAAGATTCAACAGTACACCCACACTCTTCAGTGCCTCCAGTGTTTGCATCCTCCTACTGGTCCTGTCACGTTGTCAGAACTGGTGCGTTTGCATGAATGCATGAAGGAACACTGAGTTAGGGCC